TGTTTAATCACCTGAATACAGGAATTGTGTTTTCGTTACCTTAGAATGTGCTGTTTTTATCTACAGAGGCCGAGGGGTCTCCTTCATCCTGTGGACGGTTGCTTCCAAATAATTTGGCTGTATAAACTCTGAATCCGCGTGTATCATCTTACCTCTCTGATGTGTAGAAAAGTGTAGAAAACCAAGCATCAAAGAGCAAGTACTCAAAAGACCTCCTCATACCTTCTCATTGTCTGAAAACCTTTTAATGCCCAGACGTTAACCCCTGTTCTGTAAAGTCCCTTCTTCTGTTGTATAGAGATGGAAAATAAACCCAAAGGTTATCTGTTGCTACAGGTAGATGTATTACTTTCAGGGCTTTGCAGTGATGTTTTATATTTCACCGTACTAAAGCTCAAACGAATTTCAATGAGATCAAAGAACTGTAACACCCTTAAGCATATTATCATCAAGGGTTCTGGGCAGACCTGCTGTCAACATCACTACCAGTTTAAAGACTGTCTTCATGTAATCTTAATACTGTTAAATACAAACTATCTGAGAACCTTTTTTGTGTGGCTTCTCATAATATAGTTGATTCCAGAAACATTAAATGTACTCACCAGGATCAAGTAGAAAGTAGTGAGCCTTGTGATACCTTGAGTCTGTGATTTGTCTTTTCAGTCAGGCTCTTAACCAGCTCGTACGCCTCTTGAACTTCACATTTCATGCTATAGATAGGTATAGCATTGTGGAGGAACCACAACTTGCAGTCCAAAATTGGCTTTGCTGGTCTCTTACCTTTGCAGTCACACATGAGCATTTACTGAGAAAATCTAAAGGACGCAATTCTGACTGAACTTGATATATGTGCTGGATTTGCTTCTTTGGATTTAACATCCTGTAGGGTCCTGGCAGTGCTGGGAAAGATGTTTATCAGTTCATTATCGAGAATCACAGTAATATCTTTTCTTGGTGTAAGTGTATTGTCTTGGTTGGTCATCAGGTAATGATTTTTACCTGCAAGTACTTTGGCTTTGGTATACCCTTGCAGATATGAAATATTTAATATCTATTATTGATTGACTGGTCCCTAGATTGTAGCTTTATTATCTCTGTTTATCCAGGCAGGATAACAGGAACCTTTTAAAGAGTAATTCTGTTTTTTTGTTTTGTCCACTTGGTAGGCAGCCAAAACAAGCTGTATGTATATCCCAATGAACAATGAGCTGAAAGAGGCTAAAGTGCTCTGTAGAGCAAAGGGATGACTTCACACTAGAGCTTTATTGGTTTTTTGATTTCTTTAATTCTTCACCACTAACACACTCCAGATAGAAGAGATTAGCTGAGGTTTTGAGTGATTAACTCTTAATAAATATCATTTATATTTATTTTTTATTTTTTTGCTTGTTTCTTATTATTTGTTATATGTAATTTTTTATTTATGAAACTAAAGTTTTCAGAGGCTTTGGGCAAGAACTCAGTATTCAGTATTCCAGCATCTATCGACTACATTCACACTCAGTGCCCAGTGCAGCCACTGCTCTAGTGTTAGTCACTGTACAGCTTCACAGAAGGGAGTTGTGGGTTTTGTGCCTTGCTCAACTGCAACTCGTCAAAGGAGCAGAGCGGAGCACTAGCACTTTTCCTAGCTTCATTTTTCCAGCTTCAACCTAGCAACCCTTCAACCACAAGCCAACTTCTCTCCTCTGTCTCTACTCAAATGACTCTGGTTCCTTATCACACTTTGTCTTCTTTTTTCTGGGTCTCACAGTTGTGTTAGGAGCGTCTCACCTCTATTTACCGTTTGTTATCATTTGTGTGAATTACCATTGATGCGCTTGAGTGGAGAGCAGACATTGGAAAAGGGACGGAGAAGACAGGGCCTTGAGTGAGGCAAATGCCCTCATCCATCATCCCAATATAGAGCCCTCAGTGGAGCGCAACTATTGTCTGCAGCAGGCAAACACCCAGGAATAGCAGATGGAGGAAGAGAGAGAGAGAGGATAGGATAGGACTGAGCCCATTTGTTTTCTGTGCTTTGTTTATCTGTATGTGTTTTTAAAGTTGATTAAATCTCCACCACCTGTGGTTTTTTGTTGTTTGATGACAGTAATTGCAGATAATATGTTGCTGTGCTGATCAGCAGACCGTAGAGATCCCATACATCTGTTCTTTGGGGAACAAAACTTCTCATCGTACATTACCAACTGGAGTTTTGTGAAATATTAAAGTTAATCTGTTTTTATTTGATTCTCACCCCATAGATTTTAACATTTCTTAAACTCTTTCCTGTCGTTCTTAGGTGGCTTACCTGAGACTGTGAGGTCAAAGGTCAGATGTCAGGAGGTCAAGACTCCACGTCTCACTCTTGGTAGTGAATTCAAAAGGACCTGGGACCACTGAGAGAGGATCGTTGAACATGTACTGTATGTCTGTATACATTAAGATGGCCTCCTGCACAGATCTCCAGTACGTATGAGAATGAAGATTACTGCAGGAGGAAATGCAGCAAGCATGGCATAGCTTGTTCAGTCAAGTCAAGTTGTGGTTTCTGGTTGCTTCCATCAACAGTCATGTTTAAACAGGTTGCTGCCAACGCTTATCCAGTAAATGCAAAACTGGAAGAGAATGACAAAAGCAACAAAGTTGTTTTTCATAGAATAGATAATAGTTAGGTCTTGTTGTAGTTCTTTATCATTTTTAACCCTAATGTAATTGTATCAAGAAGTATCACAGCGGTTGAAAAGCCTGTATGTGTACATTGTGTTTGTCCTTTCCTAAACTTTGTTTTGTATTTTTCCTACCATTCTTGACAAAAACAGATTAAACTCTATTTTTGAAGAATCACCTCTTCCTTTATTTTTTCTGTCTGCTGGAGAGCACTGGTGGTTGATATGTGGGACATTGTTCTTGAGTTGGCTCTTGATGAAAGCTTATTATAGAGGCACTTCAGCCCCAGGGTACAGCAGTGCATCCTCCACTTGAGTGTACTGTAATTACAGCTTGTGGAGCTAGGTGATTTTTGTCTAGTCGTGGGTTTATGTGCCAGTGTGTATGTGTCAATGATTGCTGGTATTTATGTAATGTGCTTGGTTTCGAGAATCATTGTTAAAATATGTGCTTAAGCTCTGAAAAATTGGCCTTTTTTAATTTGAATTATTACACACTCTAAATCCCTCTAAAGTTCATCATGATATGGGCTGGTCAAGTAGTCCTTACAGTATGTCAAAGTACTTTTTAGCCACATTAGCAGTGTGGATCTAGGGATGGCAACGTTCTGCAATGGTCTGTCATTTGGTCAGTTCACCACTTTAAATTCAGACTAAAATATCTCAACTACTGGATGTACTGCCATAAAATCTTTACACAGACATGGTTCCCAGACGATAAATCCTATGGACTTGGATTTGTGATTCCCTGACTTTTCCTTTACATTTTTAGTTCCGAGTAAACTTGCTCCATCACTATCAGAGGACATGATCTACAGACATTCATCATCCTCAGAGGTTTTGGTTTATTTAGGTGTTTCCTGGACTTTCATCTAGTGACACCATTAGGTCAAAGTTTTCACTTACCCAGGGACATTTCTTAATGTCTACCACAAGATTTTGTAGAAAAACATTCATGGTTCCCAGATAATGTATCCTACTAACTTTGGTAAACATCATTAGCATTCACTCAAAGCACAGCTGTACAGTACTACCTCAGTCGCTAACATGGCTGTACACTCTGTCTTGTTTCTTTGTGAAACGATTTTTTGATGTCATATTGTTATATACATGCCTTTTATATTTTTTATATTTTTTAT